GCCGCCCAGCGCCGCCGCGGCCGTTGCGGCCGTTGGGGCGCGCGGAGGTGGCGCTGCCGGGAGCCCCAGAACCGGGCGCGTTCCGGGGGTTTGGGGTTTTTGTCCTGCCCCTTTGAAATAAATTGGCACTTTTCACGGAGGTTTTGTAAGTAAACCACCTGTCCACATGKAAACTTGATTTTTAATTCTCTTTTTTTCCCCTGCGTTAACTTACAGTTCTCTAACTGGGCTGCTTCCTGCGAGCTCTCTGCTGCAGCAGGGTGCTCCRCGTTGCATTTCCATTGGTTACTGCATTAAAAATAAACTAAAAAAMAATAGAAGTGTGTTCAGAGGGTGGTGCCTTGTTATCTCATTGAGCTTGAGTAATAGCAGATAGCAGAAATGGAAACATCTGCTTTGAATTTCCCAGATACGGATTAATTTGTTGTGTAAGAATCGTCCCCAGTGTYTCTGGGCTCGGCCCTTTCCATTTTGGTGTCAAATATAGCTTAGGAAAACATCTGCAACCCCACAGAAACTGTGCTGTGCCTGTTGTGTTTTATATTATCATACGTGGGGATTTCAGAAGATGTTTTGTCTYTTGCAAGAATGCTTGGGCTGACCATGCAAAGATGCTTTGCTTGAAAATGGGTGCAAAACTGTGAGGATAAGGAGTATTTGCACGGCCATAGCATGGATGTAATTAACTATATTAAATACATACTCTTGGTTTATGTAGCTTTATTATAATTTGGGGTTGTAATATTTAACCCAGTGGCATTTTGGGGGAACATTTTGTACTTTATTGTACTTGGGAGCTTTGCTGTACTCCTGGGCATTGGGAAGATGCCTTTGCTTCCCTGGAAAGAGTTTTTTCCTTTTTTCCTTTTTTTTTTTTTCCTTTGTCTTCCTTAAATAATTGGCTGAAGATCTCTTGATTCAATATGTTTTGTGACAGCTTTATCATAGAAAATGGTATTGCCAAATTTACGGTAGTATCATTACAGGAAGAGTTATTTACCAGTAAATTATGTTGATAAACATTGACTGATGTTCAGAAGGGGCTGAGGCCTTACTAGTTTTTCAGCTGAGTGTGTGGCTATTAATTAATTATGTGTATTTTTCGTAAGTAGTCCTGCCAAGCATAATCTTTAATTAAAAGAAAAATCATAGCGCTCCTGCTTGTAGGCAGAGAGGTCATAAATCCTCTTTGTATTGTATTTTTGCTGGCCTGGTCTCAGCTGAGCCCTATCTAAGGAAGAGCTTAGAAAGCTTTTAAGCTTGATTTGAATACCTCTTCCAGAATTGCATGGGTTTGTGTTGCAGTAAATGGTAAAAAGAAGCCATAAAGAACCACAGTCACTAACTTACCACCTTCTCTGCTGCTTTAGAGTAAGATTTGCAAGCATATGTAGAGCATGAAATGAAATCAGCTGCACTGTTGAAATTTATGAGCAGAAATACCTTATTATGGCAGAGATGGGGGTCTTATCTTTTATTAATTGTTCCCATATTAGCAATTAGGGAATATCCTGCTGTCATTGAATACCTCTAAGACCAAAGTAGACATAAAAAATACTGCAATTTAATATTTGTAGCAAATCTGTCCTTTTTTTTTTTTTTTTCCCTTGTGTATTTAGAGTTTGTAGTAATAGACTTAAGCATTGGCTTGATATCAGTTGTGTTGACTAAGGTAAAGCTTGCATGTGTTTGTGGCCAATCCATCATCCATTTGTCATCATCCATCTTTGTTATTAGTGCAAGTTTATGATAATTGTGTGTTTGCAGAAAGTATGTTCCATATCTTCTGTAGATTTTATAGCCCTGTTAGCTACTGAGAAAATGTTCTTTGTGGTCACTCTTAGTTGCCCTTGCAGGAATTTTGATTTCAGTTTAAATTCACAGCTTTGTTCTGTGCAGAATTTTCTGCATAGCACGATATGTAATATGCTTACATATCGGTACCTAATTATGTAATTTGAAAATAAATAAAATTGCATACCAATAAGGTAGAAAACTGTAGAACATTCTTCCTTTACTCTCAAGTTGATATGATTTAATATAGTTTTAATTATTTATATTTAAAGAGGATTACTAAAAAGCTCTAGTCAAGTAATTGTTAAGCATTGCTTTAATTTAGAAACTACTACTTTAAATAAGCCGTACATAGGCTAGTATTGTCTCTTATTGTACCAGCAAATACTCACTTTTTCAGCTGCCCTGAGTTGGGTGGGCTGTGGAGCTAATTTAGGTGTGATTGGGGATTGCATTAAGATTCTGGAGTTGCTTTGTGATTCTCAGAGCAATGAAACAATTTGATCTTGTCCCTGTAACTTTCAAGACTACCTTGAAATCGTATCAGTAATTGTTCAGTAAGAAGTAAGATGTTTTTGTTTGTTTGTTTCGTTTGATTGCTTTGTGGTGGTGTTGTTACTCTTTAAGAACTGGTGTTCTGGATTTAACCACTATTTGAGTGAAGTAGGTTTGGACAAATAATAGCTGGGAGAGTGCTGAAAGGATAATAGTGACACTAGGTGATATAAGTTCTTCAATTCTTTTGTATTCTCAGTTAAGTTGGAACCTCCTTGGGGTGAAACGGTGACCTTTATTTTGAGACTGGCRTCATTGTGGACTGCTTGCTGCTTCCTTCACTTGAGGATTTCAAGAGTTTAAAAGAAGGATTAGTTGCTGCTCATTTCCTTCCTTGATAACGAAGATGCAGTAAGCATGGATTGTGTTTTCCATCTTTTGTCTCCTTAAGATAATTTGTTGTTCTGTTTTATGTTTCTCCATTAAAGAAGGAGCAGACAAAGTGGTTCCCATCTGGCACACCTATCTTGGCCTGMACAGGGCAGAAATTCTACATCACCTGCTGAAGTGAAGGCATCTAACAGTCATGAGGCAAACCCCTGTAGCACCAACAGTGAATTGGGGCATCCTCTCATCTCAKTGCCTTTCTGCCTGGTTTAAATGACATCTGGAGCTTCAGTTCTAGCAGGCAGCCCAAACTGCTGCCTGGGACGGGGCACAGAGCCCTGGAGTCCATGCTCGGCCAGTGCAGTGTGGGACTTGTCCCAGCTGCAGTGCCAACATTGCCCATGCATCTCTGGCAGTTTAATCTGGGACCATGGAGCCAGTGCAGAAGTGTTACAGGAAACTGGCATTAGGATGCCCTTGGTTTCTTAGGGTCTTACAGCGTGGAATCTACTACTGATACCGATAGGGTGCTTAAAGAGAAATTAATCTTGTGTCTGCTGCAAAGTTTACTTCTTGCTTAGTGTGTTAACCTAAGTTGCAGTAGGTCCGTAGCTCTTTCTGGATCTCTTGACTCTTAGAGGTTGTCTCAGATTTTGGCAGTGCTGACAGCTGTTTGTAAGCCTGTTTTATTTCAGTTTAACCTCTTTTACTTCTTAACTCTGTTGCAGTGTGTTTCGCTGCAGTAGGATTATGAAATGTGTTGCATCATATGGTGCTTGAGGTTTCTGTTACATTTCATATGTAACAGGTATGAGATCCAGAAGAGCAAATCAAGGTTCATTCTACAGTGAGTGCTTCAAGAATCATGTTTTTGAGAGTTACTCTTAAAAGAATTCATACTTACTCCATTCATACTTTCATTCCACTGTCTGGTAGTTCTGATGTGAGCTCATTTTCCACGTACTACAGCTCCTAAAACTTGTCCTTATTTGACCTGAAGGGGACAGTGATTACAAGATTTTGTCTTGTGCAGTAGATCCCTCTTAAGTTTGAGATTTGTTTATCTATGAAAAACATTTTCACTTTTTCAGTAAGTATAACGGCCGTGTAGACCCTGGAAGAAGTTTACATTTCTTCTACTTAGTTTTGGCTGTAGCTCTGGGTAGCTCTGCAGCGTGCAAATCTCAATGAGCGTCGATTACAGTTTCTGCTAGGCTCCCTGTCCAACGTTTCTACTGATGCAGAAGGGGTCATGCACAGCTGTTGAAAGAAAAAATCGGTTTCAGCATTTTGTCCCATGGCAACTTTTTCAGAACTTACCTAAAATTAAAAAAAAAAAAAAAAAGTAACGGCACTAACCTATTGAAATTATTTTTGGAATAGCTATTAAATGGATGCAAAATAATGAAAGAATCTGAAAAGTTGTTACTCTGAGTGCCATTCAGTGCTCTCCTCGATGCACACTGTAGCTACACGCATACAGAATTACCAATCTTGATGTTTAATTGAAGCAGCATATTCAGAGGATAGAGATGGAGCAAACGCAACTTTTCCATGCACGGTGTGTGCGTGACTGTGATAGGACATAYGGGTGGTGACAGCCTGTGTGTGCTGTTCAGGTGCCTTAGGATTTCCTGGTTCAATTGTGAATTGAACCAGGAAAGTTTGTGTGAAGTACTGCATGCTTTTTTCTTGAACTTTTGGATAAGTATTTTTCTTTATTTGTCAGTGTGACATATAAATCCAGTGAAGCTAATCAACACAGTACCTCTAAGTTGAACATAAAATCTGGTTTTGCTTTTGCAGGTATTTGTGAAGGAACGTAGCTGAATATGGATCCAGGTGGTGGAAGTCTTGGATTGCAGACACAAGAATCTAAAATGCCTCACACTATGATTATGCAGGATTTTGGTAAACATTTTAACTATTAAGCATTATAGAATAAAATCTTCTTTCTTTGCTCTATGCACTTAAATTATATCAAGATGTAGACTTGTTTCTGTGTAGACTTGATACCATAATAATAGTGTTTTCACAGCATTTTGGAGAAAATTTAGGATGATGCATTTTAAAAGTCCTTGCATGTTTTGGTGGTTAATCCTGAAATATTCACCTATTTTTTTAATTTAAGAAATTTGAACAAAAAAAAATCTGTGGCTCAGTGATCTAGATCAATCAGAAGATGTTGTAATGTTAGTTCAGAGAGTGTTGTTTTGCTTTGTCTTGTTTTGTTTTTGTTTGTGTGTGTGTATCTGTTTTGAAGTACTCTGGTTCCTGCTGCCTCTCCAGCCTARCAGTATAAGTGTTTATGTCTATGCTTTGGGTGCAAAAGCATAACCAGTTACTGGCTCTAGTTCCCTTTTAGGGTGCTTCAGTAAATGAGGTGGGAAGTAATGACTTTGTGTGACAATAAGTAACTGTTATGTATATAACACAGATTTAACTAAACCTGAATACTCTGTAAGTTCTCTCAAGGATCTGAGTCCAGGTGCTGTACTGATGTAAAACAACTTGTTGATCTTTTGAGGTTGCAATTATTTCTTTAGATGGCCAAGTAACTTTAGCAATTTTGAAGTTTTGGAGAAAATACAGCAAGAAGTCCACACTGTCCTTTGCAGGTCTACATTTCTGCATTGTGGCAGGAGAAGACCTTCTTAAATATTGGGACTGACCAGGTCTTTGTGCTAATCTGAATTAATGCCCTTTGGAGTGTACCAAAATAATTGCACTTGCGTTATAATACTGAAAATAGATTTAGCACTTCTGGTTTTCACTCTAAAAAGGACCGTGTTCTTGCATGTTTTATTCATTAGGATTAAAACTGATTTGTGTGCTAAAATAAATCATTGTGCAGCCTTTTTTACATATAGAAAAGTAGTTTGCAAATTGGACTGCTCAGTCAAGCCTTTTCATGAAAAACAGAGGTTTTTGCTTCCASCCATTCCTTAAACCAAGCCATGTTACTGGGAATTGTATTATAGATATGGCATACAACTGAAAACTTGAAGGTTTTTATTGAAGTTCTTAAAATATAAAGCATGAGAGAATCCTTTCATCATAACAGCAGTTAATGCCTGCTTACCAAACTTGGTGGCATGTAAGAATTTTCTAAGTGTTAATTGTTACCATATAACCAAAGATTTCTAATTGGAATTAATAAAACAAAAGGTTGGAATTGCAAACTGACCTGTAGTTCCTAAAATATCARCATTGTAAACCCTTAAACATGGGGCAAATTCAGTTTGAAAGAAAAGGCATGTTTTGGTTTACTTAGTTTAAAGAAAATGGATGTTTTGGATTGTCTTTACCTGATGAAATGTGCAAAATGTAGATTGTTGAAAAGTGATTGTTCATCGGCGTTTATCTTGTCTATACCATGATTCCGTTCCTTAGATGATTTCTAATAATGCAATAATTTTAACATTTTTCTCCTCCTTCATAATTGTTCCGTAGTGGCTGGAATGGCTGGCACTGCTCATATTGACGGAGACCATATTGTTGTGTCAGTCCCTGAAGCCGTCCTAGTTTCTGATGTCGTTACTGATGACGGAATAACTCTTGATCACGGCTTAGCAGCAGAAGTTGTCCAAGGACCTGACATCATCACTGAAACTGATGTTGTTACAGAAGGTGTAATTGTTCCCGATTCTGTTCTGGAAACCGATGTTGCTATTGAAGAAGCTTTAGATACCAGTGATCATGTTTTGACTTCCGATCTAATAACAGAAACTGTTAGAGTTCCTGATCAGGTCTTTGTGGCAGACCTTGTTACGGGTCCCGATGGACATTTGGAGCACGTGGTGCAAGACGCTGTGTCAGGAGCCAACTCRCCTACGATGGTTTCGGAAGAAGTTCTTGTAACCAACTCGGATTCGGAAGCGGTGATTCAAGCAGCTGATACTGTTCCTGGCTCCACAGTGACTATAAAAACAGAAGATGATGATGATGGCAAGAGTACATCGGAAGACTACCTAATGATATCCTGTAAGTGAAATAAAGGTAGATATGAACAGGAGATTATCGGGAGTAGAAGCCTCGTGTGCAGAGATTACAGAAACTGGACTCTCGCTGCACTCTGTAACAGAACTCTCAATTAATAGTCTGTTGCTCTGTTAATTCTTGTTGTCCAGAGTTGGGTTTTCTTCACGAAAAATCCGTGGTCAGCAATGCAACAAGAAAAAGAGTGACATTCATAATGTCAAGCGAACATGTGTGCATGTATTTTTGAAAGCAGCTAGTCCTGAAAATTGATATTTTAACAGCAAATTTTGAAAGTTAGACAGTCTGCATATTTGGAGTGTGGTACATTTTTAAAATACTCAAGCATGTTATTATTTTATGCAGATGCACGTGAAAAATAACATGCTTGGTTTCATCAATGAAATCTGTCAAAGAAATATATTTTTAGGATAACTTATTCAAAGCTGTCCTTCTTATTTTCACAAAATATTGTTTGGTTTACTATATTAAAAATTATAGTAGCCATTGCATTGTATGTTGCTCTGTTCTGGCCTCTACTTGACGTGAAGGAGTTGTGTGCATTAATTGATTAATTCTCTAGAAATGGCTGTGTACAGCATGTGGGCCCCTGCTGCTCCCTGAGGAAGCTTTATGTTCTTGCACTATTTGCTGAGTTACAACAACTAAAGTGGTTGCTGAAAAGCTATCTTAGTTGTATTACATTTCTTCCATGTTTAAATTACGTGCATGCTAGCAATTTTTAYTGTTAATGTAAAATTGTTACAGTATATGGTAGTTCATTACAGGCTTTCGACTTCCACATTAGTTATTGAACTATGAATAACTCAACAGTTTTTATTTAGTCAGAACCAATATGTTAAAAAAAAGACAATGCTAGGTATGACAATGTCAATCTCTTCACAGCAAACTGCATTTATTAAAAATTTCGAGATGGAGGACATTACTGATTAGTGATTATAATGATTTCTTTTTTGGATCAAGAAACAAAAAATCAGTCTAAATGCAAATTAAACCTAAAACAGCAAAAATCCTGTGTATTTGTAAAAAAAAAAAAAAAAAAAAAAAAAAAACATTTTTCCAATCGTTTCATTGAAAAAATTCCTCCTTTCTGACAGAGTACTTACGATGAGTTGTATTCTGTAACTGCGGTATTTCCAACTGCACCTTTGTACTTGTAAGTAAAGTTATCCTTGGACTTCCTTCTAAGATAGATAAGTTTGATTTGATAATGATGGTCACTCCACTTAGACCGGATTGTCTTAAACTTCAGGAAAAGTTATCTAATGATCTCCACTCTGCCTGATGGTTTGAGATGATTCATCCGAGAGAGTATTGTGAGGGGTCCTCAAGCCTGCGGAAGGTTTGGCAATGTTTGCAAACCAGCTAGAGGCAGGTTTAGGCATTAATTGCATATATAAGCCTGAGAGGTCRCAGTCACAGTTGGAAACTAAATGGTTAGTCTGAAATTCTGTTCTCATCGTTTTAGGAATATTAAGACATTCTTTTCCCTCTCAAAGCAGTTAGCTTTGCGCCTGGGTTTGTGCAGGGTCTGCCACCTCAAACCTGCAAAGAGTCTCAGAGTTTCACTGTTTTTTTTTATTATTATTTTGATTTTATTCCCAGAACAGATCAATCTCATGCAGTTGCAAGTTTCTAGGACATTCATCATTTAGCAAAGAGTTTAAAACACTTTTTAATTATTTTTATATTCTTTAAATTGTCACATGTTCAGTAAGTGTTGTAGAAAGGTAATTTTATAGTTTTAGTTTCTTGTGTTTATGTGTGGAGTTATTGAGCTTTCTTGTAATACAAATTGCATAAAAGTGAATGTTCTAAAAATCTCAAATACTTCTTAGCTGCCTTTAATGAAATTTAACAGCTAAGAAATTGGGACTTTACATGAAGTGACTGATCATCTCTTCATGCAGTACCACCAGTGGTTTGGTGGAGCACAGTTTGAGAACTTCTGAAATATGACATTTTAGAGTATAAAACTGAGCTGCATGTGGAATTTTTTACCATTTTAAAATACTTTTCCATGTAGGCATTTTACATAGTATTAGTAGTTATATTTTTATATAAATATATTTGGAAAATAATCTTTATTTGAATAGTTTTGAAAATGAGATGTGTATAATTTTGTAACGGCGAGTTTTCACAGGAAGGTTGTCATCACTCACCATCTCCGTGCAGATTAATTCAGCTTCTTAAAATCAGGTTTATGAGCTGAAAAATCGCTTCCTGATACATACATAAAACGTAGTGTAGGATATGTATACATCCCTTTTTTAAACTCCCATTTCAAAGGGAATTGCTTAAAAAGGAAGTTAAAGTTAATGCATAGGGTCTGCCTATGGACCCACCCATCTCATAAAGAGAGGCACAAGTTACGTACAGCACATCCCCCTTTGCCCAGGAAGAGCTAGCACACTGGTAGCTTAAAACCTACCCTTTTTTGTTTTTCAGGTTTGCGATATTCAGACGCACAGCGGCTTGCCAGCCCCCGATCCCTGTGCTGGCCCTGCATGCACTATGCTCGCGACCTCATACCCACCCAAGAGCAACCCTGGAGCTGGCCTTTAGGGTAAGGTACTGTTCCACCACCACCTCCTTTTTAGTGTATTGCAGTACAGTGTTAACATCATTTGCTAAACAGTTGAATATTCCTATATTGTAAGCTCTGGGATGTAAAATAAGTATAGCAGACCTAAGTAAAACACGCAAAATCGTAAAATTGTGGGACTTATCTTGCCCTCATGTTGTCCCCGTGGGCTCCTATGGTGGGTGTGATATCACCAGCATAGCGCATGCTGAGGCAGCACGTGAATTGGGAGCTGGCAATCCACGGTGAATCTGGACATCACACACCTGAAAACAGCTAAGAAAGGTAAGTTGAACACTGCGAGTGTGCTGAGTTTTCCTTTGAGTTTTGTTATTTAGGAGAATTCAGCAGATATTTGTAAGGATTCGCTGTTTGAACTCTTTGGTTAAAGGAGAGTGTATTACGTAATGCTTGTGGTGGATGAACCAGATCTGGAAGACACTTTCATAGGCTTCCATGGACATAAAATAAGCATTCCTGACAGCTATCACTTGGAAAAAGTGCTTTAAAAAGYCCTAATCTTTTGGAATTGGACAAAGCTTACCTGCCCAGCTGTGCTGATTGTTTTTCACTTGTTTGAGTGTGTGCAAAAATGGATTGAAACCAGGAGATTTGCCCTGTGTAAAATGGCAGCTTAAGCAATAGCAATTGCCAGTTAACTGCTTTTGAAACAGAATGCAACATCTTAARAGTGGCAGTGTGCATTATTGTCGTTTTATCAGTTCTTATCAGTAGCTTGTATTTTTCAGATTTTGTTATATTGCACTTCTGCTTTTTTTAGAAAAGTGGTTAAGAGCTGTACATACGGATGCTTTATGATACGTTCCCAGAACTTTAGCTTAAATTGTAGAGGCTGAAAATCTTTGAAAATAGAGAAGATGCTTAACGAGGTGGGAGTTGCTCTTCTAAGACAGAGCTACCTGATTTTTTAAGGATATTAAAAAATCTGATTTTACTTGAAAGTACAAGCTTACMTATTATACTATATTAATATATTTTAGTTCAGATTTAGTTAAAAATATTCATTTAGGAACGTTAAAATAGAAAATTTTCTCTTTTTTCTTTATGTGATCTTTGTTGTATTGCAGTATATCCTGGCAAGGCAACTAAAGTGAAATTGTGTATATATTCTTACATTATTTTGTCAGCTAAACAGTGGTATTTAATCATTTTCATTCGACACTAGCTAAATAGTTTAGAATTCTTTCCATAAAGAACACTTACATTGCATACAACTGATTACTGTGCTGTTCAGGGGGACTTTCAGTTAAGTCACTGAAATACTGATTTTCTATGTGCAATTGATACCGTGTTATGTTTTAGAAAACATTGTTCTTGCTTGACTTTCAGATTAAGAAATAACTGTACCTTAAAAATGTCTACTGTCACCTGCCAGTTGTAAGATTGCAGCAACTGAATAGAGTTAGTGATAACTTCCCCCCTCAGCCTTCTACTTTCCTTTTGACATTTTGACAGCAACTTTCCTGTGCTGTTAGTTCCTGTCTTGTACTATTAGTTAAGCTTCGATCCTTCAGAGACTCGTAGCATGTGGTGAAGCGAGCATGAAACATCTATCTGTCATTTTAAGGATTTTGGATGAGAAGCTTCCATAAATGTTAAAAGCCAGGCAKATTTTTTCTCTGTTAATTTCCAAAATAATAAACGTAATGATAATATTTTTTTTTCAAGATAAGTATCTTGGAGCTTATCCTTTATCCTGCTAGTAGAGGATGCATAATCCTCTCTTTTAATAAATACTTTCTGCCTGCATAAAATAACTTTAGTGAGCAGATGTAATAACTTTCTCATATTCGATAGAGTGATGCATTAATAACCTGGTGCTGCTAAACTGACTTGCAAAGGAATTTGTGGATTTCTGTGTTGTGGCTTTTCTKTCTGCGGTGTTCATATTCATCCTGCTTTCCTTGTCCTGCAAGATGACATGAATGCCATGTGCTGCCTGTCCAATTATAGCGGATAAACGTATTGATATTGCTGGCATCAGTGTTATTAGTAAGAGACTTAAAATATTCTCAATTAAAAAGCACAAAATTTCCCTGGGGAATTTTTTTGTTATTTCCACTGGTTCAATTTGGGTTGTGGGGCTTTTTTGGCAACGCAGTTAAACCTGTTAYTTACAGAAAAACGAACAAGAGCCAAAGCATATCGTGTTGCTTTTTAAGGTTTTCACTTTATTTTAATCAAAACATACAATTTAATTTCAGTGATTCTTTAATGAGATCAAATACTTTCGTGGTAATTACCTATTTTATAGTTCTGTTCCTAGTGRTATTCTGACACAGCCTAAAACTTGCGAAATAAAAGTTTCACCAGTGCGAATGAAAAATCATTCAGTTTGATTAGGGGTTCCTGTGAATCCTGTTCATGGATCGTTTGGGATTGCTGTAGTGGATTTCCATCCCTGGGGCAGGGAGGGCCTCTGCTCTTTCTCTAGCAGGTTCTGAACCCCCTCACATGAATGCTTGAGGTGGTAAGAAAAATTAAGCTAACTGCAGTTTACCTGAGTGCAGCAGGCTGTAGCCTGGAGCAGTAAGCAGCTCTTCAAGAGCAGTCATCCCTGCACTGAGGGCAGGAAACTTAGCGGGGGATTGGGAACCACTGCAGCCATCCCAAGGTAAGCCCTCCTTTACTCCCTAATCATCCCTCAGGTCTCTTAGTCATTTTAAAACACTCTTRCACTCATGGTAAAACACTGAAAATATCATTATAATCCTTTTTATTTTTAACCTAATACATATGTATTAGGTTTTTAAACCTAATATAAACCTCAGGTATTTAAAGGTTATACATTATTGGGAAATAGCATTTTTTTGTCTAATACAGATTTCATTTTCCTTTTGAGGAATTACTTCCTTTTTAGAGGATTTRAGTGGGTGTTCAGTACTGCATAGGTTTGTCCTAGCCATCTGCAGAGGAACTAATTTTACCCATTGAGAAGTGTGCTAGCAATGTATACGTCAGAAAGAGGCTTGGTTYGGTGGCCCTTGTGGTGACGCCTTCCATGCACACATATGGATGTCTCTGTGAACACATATGTTACCAAAACAGTGTTGCTTCTATACTTACAAAATGTATTTTTTGTTGAGAAGATAAAATCAGCCTTATACGTATTGGAATAACCAAGTTGCAGGAATAAAGAATGAGAATTCCATTTTAACAAAATATTACTTCAATTAATTTTCATCTCATCTTTTAATCAGCTATATGATATATTACCCAGTAATTTTTGTTAATTTGTAGACTTTTAAAGCAATTAAAACCGTAATTTTAATGTGAGGGTGTAGCCCATTTTTTGACATGCTTCCACTGGGAAGTTACCAAGAATCAGCACTCCTGAAAAGGGGAATCAGCAGCTGCCTTTCAGTAGCAGTATTCCAGAATAGTGAAAGTGCCTGGAATTCTTATTAGRCTGCAGCAGACAATTCTGGGTTAGTTTTTTACAAATATTTTAAGTTGTACTTGTTGGTGTCCTTTTGATTTCTTCTCACCACTCCAGGAACAATTTCAAGCATAACCAATACCCATGAAGTGCTTTATTGCAAGCTCTCTCTTGTGTCTTTYGTTCTGCAACTCGGGTTATGTTTCCAGAGTTGTGGCAATTCAATCAAATGTTGGTCTTCTGGAATCTCATTCCCTTTCAAGTGTCTTAAGATGAACTAATTTATAAAGGCCATTTATGAWTGCAGTCTTTTACTAGGCATGAGGATAACAGTAAGAAGTATTGCTAGTTATTACTCTGACTTCTAAAAAATAAGTTTGTTCCTCATTATTATTCTCTTTATTTTTACAGTGGATGATGTTGGAGAAAAATTGGACCATATAGGAAGCACCCCTCTAAAAATCAGTACAGAGGTGTCAAATGATGATGTTGCTAAAGATGATGGGTTTGGTTCAGAAGTTATCAAAGTTTATATATTTAAAGCTGAAGCTGAAGATGATGTCGAAATAGGTACCTTTTAAATTCTGTTTATTTCAGTAACATTAAATATTTTGGGGTATTTTAAGATAATTTAACACGGCCCACTGAATTTTTTTACTGCTATGTGATATTTGTGGAAAYCATCAATATGCACTTAATACATTTAGTGTATTTATCCTAAATTGAGATTTTTTTTTGATTAGTGGTATTAATTTTTCACCTACATGTAGCAGTAGTTGGAGATATGGACATATGCAGAGTTGGAGTAGTTGGACATATGCAGATACTTCTTCTAACTTTACAAGGGAGAATGCTCTCCAAGTTTTCTCTCCAGGGGCCTTCATTTCTGTTGTTATAGCAGCTTTTCTTTTTTTTTTTTTTTTTTTTTTTTTCATTTCTTAACTGACTTAAAAAGATACTGGTTTCTTGGTTTTTTCCACCCCTTTGTAGTAGGGAAAGAATTAATTATAAGGAATTCAAATTAAGATACCAGACTTTATAACACAGTCACTGTCCTATGTGTCCTAGCTTGAAGAGTGGTTTAAACGTAATAATTTGTAACTTGCTTGTGATTCAGCTGCTCAGCCATTGCTATTTTCAGCCTGCCATGTTAACATGAGCTGTAATCAGTGCCAGTTTTCCATACTGAAAACTRCAACAGTTGGAGAATTAGTGCATAAGCAGATCAGATATCCTTGAATTAGAGGCAGCATTTGCACGAGCAGAGCAGACAGCTGGGGTTTCAGAGGCTGATTTTTAATTTGCAGGTAGCGTTTGCATAGCCCAAAATCTCACGGGTGCAGCAGCTGCCCACCCCGTAGCTGTTAGGAGTGGATGTTCTTAGGATGGCAGCTCTTTGCAAGAGGATGCTTAACATGGTGCTGCTTTCTGCAAGGGCTTTCTAGAGCACAGACCACAGATGTGCAGTGAGTTTGTTTATAATGCAGAATCCATGACTTTTTCCTGAAGAAAATCTAGAAAATTGACCTCGTTTTTGTATTAGTACAGAGTCGATTCCTAGAGTGGATTCCTGGCATGGCGCAATCTTCAGTAGCCTTGGTGCAGAGAGAGGGGAAGATTGCTGAGGTTTTAGGCATGTGGTCTCGTGCAAACCTGACCAAGAAACTCTTGTTCTGAGGTTTGTACCACGTGAACTCTCTGAGGAACCTTGCAAGCAGGTTCAGTTCACCGCGCAGAGCTGGCACCTCTTCACCTCTGCCCTTAGGTGCTTCAACCGCCTCGTCACTGCAGTCTGTGTGGCATGGGCCACCTAAGCCCATTCACAGGGCACRTCCTTCTGTTTCTGTCCTTCCTGAAGCAGGGAAGAGAAGACCAGTCTGTTGGCCTGTGCAGACTAGAACAGTCACAACTGCAGATTACACAAGCAAAGTCTTCCAAGTAGTTACTGTCCTGGTGCTTTTTTTCAAGCACCTTGAACTACTGCTTCAGGAATTCTTCAGCTATATAATGCCTTTTTCTTCTKTGAGAAAGCTGAAATTAATGGCAGAAAAGAACTTTTACAGCAGGCGTGATCAAGCTGGTAGCTAATGGGACAGTTACTTTTTTATTTCTTCTCAGGATAGATTCAGAACTTAATAGATTGCTTACAAGTTGCTCAGCCTATTAGTGAAATTCCCCATCAGGTTACCAAGTAACTGCGAATTTTGYTCTCCATTTTATTGCCATTGATCTMTCTGGTTGTCAGTCCTGAATTTCTCAGGGGGCAATGAGAGAACACAGCTTGTTTTCCCTAATCTACAATAAACTATCAACTTGCATGKTTTTATGGCAGACAGAGGCTGCAAAGTATTAAATATATAAAACTTAATAAAAGATTTATAAATCTTTATAAAAGATTTATAAAATAGCCTTGTTGGAAATAAGAAAAAATACATAAATATTTATCTTAATAGTGGGTTTGTTCATAGTAACTTAYATTTTTAATTTCTTTTCTTTTGAAGGCGGGACAGAAATTGTCACAGAGAGTGACTTTCACAATGGACATTCTGTAGCTGGAGTAATTGAACAAGGAGGAGTTGGTAGAATGCAGCGAGAAAAAATGGTTTACATGGCTGTTAAGGACTCTTCTCAGGAAGATGAAGATATTAGTAAGCATAATAAGAAACATTTTTGTTTCTCATGCTATTTGATACAGCAGTATAAACATCATTCTCAAGGACTTTTTTAATTTTTCTGAAGGATTCTTCAGCCTGAAGTAGTAGAAAACTAAACTGATCTTCCCTAAAAATAAAGACAGGCTATAACAATTTTAAAGTCATGTGGATAATATGCACTTTGTGCATTCTGTATGCAATCATTTCATTATTTATATTAAATTTAACATGTCCATGGATGAAGTTAATGAGGTTAGTCAAATTTCTCATTTTTCTGTTTTCCAACTGTGAATTGCCTTTGTTTAAACAGCTTTCTGGCAAAGTGGCCAATAAATGTCATCAATTACACATTTATAAGTTTGTATATTTGAATTTATATTGGTGTTTATGTTGGTATTTATATTTATTGATACTTGTTTTCTCTCTTTAAGGAATGTCTGAATAAACAATGATCCCCTAAGGAAAGGGGTGGCTCTTAAATGCCAGAGGAAGGAAAGTAATTTGTAACGGGTATCCATCAGAATGAGAGCCAATTAAATGAAGGAAAAATTAAGATGAGCAGAGTAAAATTAAAGGTTGTTGTTCTCCTTTAATCCAGGCTGTGCTGAAATAGCAGATGAAGTTTATATGGAAGTTATTGTAGGTGAAGAAGAAGCTACATCCCTCCCAGAGACACAGCTGGAAGACTCTGGCGTGAATAAAACTTTTGTGCCTGTTGCTTGGGCTGCTGCTTACGGTAGGAGTCTTTCTGCTTAGTTGTGAAAATCACTTTTGTTATTTGTTACCTAATGTAACTTCCAGAATCCTTGGGCACGTGCCAGTGTCTCATTTTCCCCAGTGGGGGAATTGGTAACAGCTCCTTCTGTATGTGTACCTATGTACCTGTGTATGTAGGAACATATGTACCTATGTTCCTAATAATTTCAGTTCATATAGCAAGTTGTAAACCTGTTACCTTTTGAGATTTTGTTTTTTTTCTCTGCAGTCATGCTTCAAGTGGTAGGAACATCTTAATAGGGTATATTAAAATTCTGTATGTCCTCTTTATTTTGTATATATAGTGTTTTAGGATTTTAAATGTATGTTAAGGAGGAGGGTATCAGATGAGCACTGGTTTATGTTATAATTAAGAGAGCAAACTGAGCAGGTAAATTCCATTTGTGCAGTGTTCCTGAGCACATTAGTTACAAAATGGTTTCGACCTGCAGAGCCATGGCCCATAGCAGTAAACACTTTCAATACAAAATGAGGAATATTCTCTTAAATTATCACTGGCCTATTTCTTAGAAGTTTGTAGCGGCACATATATGAGTACTCAACAGGAGATTAGTGCCCCATTATCTGCTCTGGAAACATCAGGTGTCTGGATTTCTGGATTGAACCGTCAATTTCAGATACTCTGAAATTTCTAGATTGGTGTCTGCAGTTGCACATAAGCTTAAAAGCTCGCAGAAACAAACTGTCTAGTTAGTGAATGGTTTGGTACTTTTGGAGAGAGTTAGGACAGAGTCAATAACGTGGACAGGGTCAATAACGTTTATTTGTTCAGTGGATGACAGAGATGCCTCCTGCCATGCACGTGCTTAGTGTTTCTGTGAGACTCTTCAGTATAAAAAATATTTTTAGACCCCTTAATTTGCTGTAAGCCAAAATGCAAGAAGCATGGCAGAATTCCAGCATTAATTTCTTCTTTTGCTTCAGCCTGGGTGTGYCCTCTGTATTGTTCAAACCTTTAATATTGTTAATCCTTGAAGCTGAACAGGTTTTGCTCTGACCCTTGCTACCTTAATTATCAGAAATAAGAAAGCTAGTCAGAATGAAAGCATGCAAGAATAATTTTAATGGATGTAGCTACGTGTGAAGAAGTAATTTTTTCTTCTTAGTTCYTGAGGCATATAAAGACAGGGTTTTGAGCTGATGTGAACTGCACATCTTGGTTTATTTTTTAGACTGTTATTTATTAGTTGGCTGTTCTCTCAGACTTTCGAAGCCGTCATTGTTAGAAAAAAATCAAATTTATAAATAACTAGTACACTGTTTTCTGCAGGAGATGAAAGAAGACTACCCAGAAGATACGAAGATGGTCAAACGACAGGTGAGAACATGTGATTGTTTTGTAGCGTTAAAAGTAACTTACTTCCTTTGAAAACATATGTTTATATATAATAGTTCTAATCAATAAAGGCCCCCCCCAAAAAAAAAGTAGACTACATATTGAAGGACTTTATCTAGTGTTGTCCAGTTAAAACAATTCTAGGTGTTCTAGGCCTTCAGAGTTGGTGGGGAAGCTGGGCAGATCTGCCAGTATTTTTATATGGTTTTGTAGTCAGAACAGAGACAGTGTAATTACTGAGAGAAAAAACAAAGCTAATAAGAAAGAGTGTCCTGAGAGATAAAAGAAAACAAGGAATATATATTTAAATTAATTATATTCTTGACTTTTGTCAACATATGAGACAGATGCTGCTTTATATTGGCCCTCTGTCATCTTTTTATAGTTTACTGTAAAGGAATGAACAATTAAAAAAAAAAAAAAAGGCACAGAAGTTGATTATGCTGCTGTGCAATTCCAGTCACCAGTCTTGAAGAGGGAAGTTGCTTAAGGTTTTTATGGTGTCTAATTTTTGTTTCTAGGAAATAACTTGGATACACGATTAGAAAACAAAAACGGTAATGCAACACAATACCTGCAGATTTGTGATAGCATTAGCACTAATAGAGTGCTAAAACAAAAAACCAAGAAAAGGAGGAGAGGAGAGGCCAGGCAATGGCAAACAGGTAAACAATGTATGGTTACACGTATCTGTCACGGAATGGCACTGACTCGTTTACTTTTCCTTTTTTAAAACTGGTGCAGAATTTTGAAAACTGAAATGATTTGCGTATTTCCTGTGTCCTTCCCTTCTCCAGTTCTGTGCCTAGAGAATGCAGCATTTTTTACAGTCTGAAGTCAGTAGGCCTAGGGCTGGTGCAGTTCATTTGAATTTTGCCAACTATTAAAAAGAATTGTGGATATATTCACTGCACATATGATATTACTGATCTGTCTGAGCAGTGTCTAAAACAACACTATATAAACTGTTGGTGCTGTGGATGGGTTGTTTTTAAACTACTGAACCCTTCTCTGCCTGCTGCAAGTGTAAGTGCATGAATGTGGACAGCAGTTGGCTGATATAATTTCTTAGCTGGTAAATGAGTTTCCTTCATAACGTGTTTTTGTTTGTTTAAAAACAGCTGTTATAATAGGTCCTGATGGACAGCCCTTAACAGTTTACCCTTGTCACATATGTGGGAAAAAATTTAAATCCAGAGGATTCTTGAAAAGACATATGAAGAATCATCCAGATCATATGATTAAGAAGAAATACCAGTGTACAGACTGTGACTTTACAACTAACAAAAAAGTAAGTTTCCACAATCATCTGGAAAGCCATAAACTTATAAATAAAGTCGATAAAACCCATGAGTTTACAGAATACACGAGAAGATACAGAGAAGCAAGCCCTTTAAGTTCTAATAAGCTAATACTGAGGGACAAGGAGCCTAAACTGCACAAGTGCAAATATTGTGACTATGAAACTGCAGAGCAGGGACTACTCAATAGACATCTCCTTGCCGTGCACAGTAAGAACTTTCCTCACGTGTGTGTGGAGTGTGGGAAAGGCTTCCGGCATCCTTCAGAGCTGAAAAAGCATATGAGGACCCACACGGGGGAAAAGCCATACCAGTGTCAGCACTGTGTCTTCAGGTGTGCTGACCAGTCCAATCTGAAAACCCACATCAAAAGCAAACACGGGACCGATCTGCCCTTTAAATGTGAGCACTGTCCCCAGGCGTTTGCAGACGAAAAGGAACTGCAGGAGCACACAGAGTTGTTCCAGGGGCATAAGACTCACCAGTGTCCACATTGTGACCATAAGAGCACCAACTCGAGTGACCTGAAGCGCCACATTATTTCAGTTCACACAAAGGATTTTCCCCACAAATGTGAGGTGTGTGAAAAAGGCTTCCACCGGCCATCTGAGCTCAAAAAGCATAGCGAAACCCATAAAGGTAAAAAGATACATCAGTGTAGACACTGTGACTTTAAAACGTCCGATCCTTTTGTACTTAGCGGGCATATCCTCTCGGTTCACACCAAGGACCTGCCTTTTAAATGCAAAAGATGTAAAAGAGGATTTAGGCAGCAAATTGAACTTAAGAAGCACATGAAGACCCACAGCGGAAGAAAAGTTTATCAGTGCCAGTATTGTGAATATAGCACTACGGATGCGTCGGGCTTTAAGCGGCACGTGATATCCATCCACACGAAAGACTATCCGCACAGGTGTGAGTATTGCAAAAAGGGGTTCCGTAGGCCCTCCGAGAAAAACCAGCACATAATGAGGCACCACAAAGAGGCCATACTGTAGCACCCGCTGTCGGGAAGGAAGCGATTAGAAACTGTGATACACTAATTGGGGAAAAAAAAATCTCATGAACTGTTTCTCCTGGTTTCAAAGCTTGATATTAAATCATAACTTTACATTCTTTGTATCAAAAGTCTTAAAAGTATTAGGGTTGACAGGGGATCTCATAGCCCTATGATTGTTGCTTAGCAGAACCTAAAAAAGAGCACTATAGAATGCAGAAAGATGGATGAATGTGTGAAATAGTGCAGAAAGATTGCTGAATGTCTGCAGATAACTAGTATTACACGTCGWTAAGCTGTGGAAGACGAAACAAAGGTGATTGTGTTACCCATTTTGTCAGTAATAGCACTTGTCTCCGATATGAAAACAGTTCAGATCCCTGCTGGGGTTACCTGCAAATTATTTGCTCAGGTAACCAGGTCTACCTTCTTGTGCAGTCTTGAAAGAGGAGGAATATTAGTCTCTCACTTGGTCATAACATTTTTAAATTGTGCCTGGAAACTGTATTCCAGAACTGGTCAAATTTGGGGTTTGTCCTTTTTTATTTTCCGGGGTTTTTTCCCTCCTTTTTTTGACATTTCATTGGGAAACTTTTTTGTTTCCTTCATTAGTTTAGGTTCGATGAGTACTTTTTTAAATGGTTTTCAAAGCTGCTAACCTATTTTATTGCAGGATATGGTGTTTAAAATATAGCATTATGTTATGAGCTCAGAGGTGGTGTTCTGGTGCTAGGGTTAAAGATATGTATGTATATAATTTCCCTTTTTTATCTGAAACTGCAGTTGAATGTTGTTCAGTATGGCACATATGACAATTAACTTTGAATCTGTCTTTTTTTTTTAAGAAAAAAATGGATGCAGCTCATAGTGTTGTGACTCAACACTTCTTTTTCTTGCTATTTTAAGATGTTCTTTAAAAAGAATATTAGGAACAAAGTCAAAGAAGATAATAGATTTTTGAATTAAAAATTCAAAATACGTAGAAGTTYGTTAGGGCAGTGTTGGTAACAGGTATGACTATTATTGTCCTACCTCCTAATATGAAATTTTCAGTATAGATATAAAATTGCACCTTTTAATCAATTCTTTAAAAACCTATTCCATACTATAAACATGCATTTTCAATCTGTAAGAGAGTATATATGCAGTATTTAACCAGAAAAATATGCTGCCACTAGAGTTTGGAGGTGGATCTTCAGTTTACAGTGTATACATTTAAAATATGCATCCCTTTAAACAAAGCTTTGTGTTAGCATGCTGCAAATCAAATGGCGCTTAATATAACAAGCTGGTCTAGGGCTATTTAATGAAAAACCTGTTCATAAATGTTATGCATATAATGTGTATTTTTTACTCTTTTTAGTTGCTTCATGTTTGCACACAGCTGTTCACATGATAAATTGTAACTTCATGCTATATTGTGGCTTTGTGTTTCAGATAATGTTCATATTTTGTTTTTGCACCAGATGAGAATCAGTTCCTTGAGAATAAATTTTTTTTATATTTCTAAACTTCGGAAAGTTAAATTTGGGAAATCTCTTAGAGAAATACGTGTTTTATGTGGCTGTAAAAAATGATGTACACGCTGTAAAATAAGATTGTCACTGTTATGTGGGATTATTATTTCTAAATGTGTTACTCATCGTAACGGGCATACAATAAAACGCATCTCTTGCACTCCAAATTTTTTGGAGTTTGCTTCTCATTTATGGTGACTTAGGAATGTCTTACTCTGYGTAGATGTGCCTAGCACTTTAATTATTGTTTATAAGTTAATACGGAATGTTGTCATGTTCAGCTTAAGTAAAACAGTTACTTGAAAGCCAGTTACTGGTGGGGGAGGATGGGCTTTTATTTAAGTAACAYTTAAAAGTTACGGTTCGTGTCCTTACGTGTATCAAAAGCTATTACCAGATGTGCTGAYGTTCTTTGAAATTCTTTCCTTTAAGAGAGCATAAACCTTCACGTGCGCTGTGGGAGAAGAGGGGTAAGTGCCTTTTTTTCTTTCTTAATTGCATATGAAGAACAACTTGCAGAATGAAAAATACTGCTGTCTTTTTGTCCTTCTCTTTTAGGAGTATTTGACTGAACACATCAAATAGATAAAATCTTGAGAGCGGTTTAGGAGCAGCCTTCAGCAAGGATTGCTGACCAGCTTTTAGCCGCATAACCCTTAGGCTCTTGCACTAACAAGCAGAACTGCCCCGTGACCTGTTCTTACTCACATTGTTTTCTGTGTCCAGCAGCCAAAGGAGGGGGCGGTACCACCATTCAGAAACTCTTAGCAGTGAAAACTGTATTTCAGTGAAAATGTTGAGGCTTTATTCCTGGAGAGACTGAATGCAGAGACGGAAGGAGCTGCTTCGTACCAGGCTGAGGACAGTTATTCACCTGTGCAACGCTGTGGCCAAGGGCTCAGCAGCATTGGGATGTTTTTCCACCTTAAGGCTGGATGGAATGAGCAGGTATGTTAATATTGTAACCATATTTTATAGACAATTTTGTGAAACCATTTAATGCAGCATTGCTTTAAGAGCATTTCAAAGTTCGTGTGCTACAAAACAGGGTACTGAGGCTGGAAAAGAAACTGTTCAGGCAGTGAAGTCTGCATTGACGGAGACCGATGCTTTTAAGCACTGCAGATGTCAAGAGCATGATTTGATCTTATTATTGATGCAGGTGATAGGTAAACATTTACAGTTTGAAATATAGTGGTGCATGCAAAAAGTCATATACTGCTCTTTTTTTTTGTTGTTGTCTCCAGATGTGTGATTTGCTCATGTTAAATAGTACGTGTTTCCCTTCCTTGGTAGGTGACTCTGCAGTACCAACTTGTGGGCCTGCCTAGTTCTCTGTGTRCAGAATGTAGGGGTGTGTGGCGAGAGCCCAAGGAGCCTCCGGGATTACTGAGGCTGCTGCATCGCTGCCACTTTTACTTGATCGGCTTATTAAGTCATTACAAACATTTCTTTCTTTATATTAATTGTTCATTTGGTCTCCAGGGAATGTATGGACAGCAAACCCTAGCTGAGAGGGAAGCTGGTGGAACCRAGGAAGCAGACGTGTGCTTTAATCCATGCACCATTAAGGTTTGCTACCCTGTGTTTTTAAATTTCAGCACTTCAAAATAATTCTCCTGGGCTTGCAGCTTGAGCAGTGGCTTAAACTTCAGTGGGTGGTGGCAGGGAGGGAGKGAGTGTGTCCTTGAGCAGCGGGGCCACCTGGGCCGTGGGGACTGCGGCTGCGCTTCAGGGGTGCCCGTGCGCTCGATTCCTGCCCCTGGCTTTGCTGCTGAAGCTCTTGGGCGACGGCCCCGACGAGCAGCGCGGCGGAGAGCAGAGCGGGAGCCCCAGGCAGCGGGAATTTGTGTCGCCTTCGTGCCAGGTAACTGAACAGCATTTTAAGTATAGCATTAAAAAATAATGCAAAAATGATACTTTTTTTCAGTCAGTTTTTCTTATGTTTGGGGCACAGAACTGCAAGGGCCCTTAGTGTAATTAACATTATTTATTGGGCTGGAATATACCTTGAAAGCAGTGTGTGGGAGCAGCGTTGATATTATTTGTTTGCATAAGATACTGATCTGTATTTTATAACTAAACCTACATTTTTTTCCCTTCCATTGCACAAACTAAGTCTTCACTCAACTGGGGCTGTTTTATAAATGTTTTATTTTTTCATTATTTCAGATCTCCCGTGATCTAGCTAGACCAAAGTGGTCGTATGTGAATTTTAAAATAAATTTTAATTATAGTCTTTGTTCACTAGTGGTGGCTGCRCTGAGGCGGGCAGTGCTCGCCCAGCCCGGGAAGCTGCAGGGTTCAGTTTGTCTCCTCATGCCAGGAGTGCTGCCGCCTGCGCGGGCCTCACTTGGCCCGCAGGCTTGAGTCAGAGCTCGGTCCTCAACCCTCTTTTTGACGGGTAAAGAGGAACAGGTTGTCAAAAACACCCGCTCTGCCAGCCCCGGCAGCCCCTCACCCAGCCAGSCCCCTCCACGCACACGCCACGCACGACGTTGCACGCAGTGTTTATTTCAGAGTGACACGTAGCCCCCAGGGCTCTTTCCCCATTAACATTGTCTATAGAGATACATTCACTAGGAGCAGAAATACAAAAACCTGCAGGAATAAAGCAAAGCGAGACCCCTGGGTGCCCTTCAGTGCAGAGTGGGTTCCGATTCCCCTAGGAGCCTTTTCTTGGTATTTCCCCTTCTCCCCCAACAGCCGGTGTTGTTAGTTATTATTTACTACTTCATTATGGACAACAAATCATTCAAAACCACTTCGGTAGTCCTGCCTGGAGTGAATGGTGTGAAGGGAAGGTAGCTCTGATGGGAACATTTAGTCCAAGAGCTATTTTGGTACTAAGATGTTTTCCCCGTGTTCTTGGAAGCCTCAATCACAGCCAGTGTAAAAATCAATAGGTAGGGCTAGTTTGGGCATTTCTAAGAGCTTCTAGCTGAAAACCTGCCAACTCTTGGCACATTCCTTAAAGTTGGCCCATTCATTTTATAGAACTAGAGATAAATTTGGTATTTGTTAATTGAATAAGTTTGAGGTGAACAAGTTGTTGCAGAGATGGAGCAAGTTAAGTAATTTTCTGTAGTGTTTTAGCTTTTTGTAGGCAAATCTCCACCAAGTGTTTTCAGTGGGGTGCCCTTCAGTGTTAAAGCTCCCCCTTCATCTTGAAGAGGCAGTAGATAAAAAGACAACCTTTGTGAAGCTGTTTGTCCTGAAAGGCCTCAGTATGTGCGTGCCCCAGCTGTGCATCAGTCATTCTCACCTACTCTGCATGCGTAGACAGGACAGAAGAACAAACCAGGAGGCCCCCAGAAGAGGTTGTGGGTTATTTTCTCTTTCCTCTCTCAGAATGCTGCAAGACTGACAGAAGTTGTTAGTCAGGTAGTGACTGTCAGGAGAAACCCAAGTCTAGGGAAGCAGGGTAATATTGTTAATATTGTTCTCTGCTGAGAGAAAAGTGCATGGAAAATACAACACAGTGGTGATGGTATCAGCACATTACGAAGAACACAGGGAACTTGGTTCGTTATGAGGAGGGCAGGACAGCATTTTCCATAGTTGTCTTTCCTGTTCCCATGTCCTTATTGCRTTCCTCACTTTCAGTATCAGACTGAATCTTTTACTGATGCAAAAGAGCAGAAAGGAGAAAGCAGTTTCAGTCATCGGTGTGAACWCCTTCAGGCAACTCTGGCTAAGGAACTTCTTTCAATCCTGAAAGGAGAAAGCAGGCTGTCAAGAGCTGTGCCTGTACTTACCACTTCTGTGTGTAAAACAAAGCTTTCGGAGATATAAAGCATACTTTTTTCTCTAAAAGCATACTTGTTTCGCTAACATTTTTTTTTTTCTTTGTAAGGGTCTTAAATGGCCAGTTTTGAGCCTTTTGGTCCATTACAGCTGCTGCCCATGTCAGTGCCAGAGCACCTGCAAGGTCAAAGTCGAGCCATTAAGCTGTAAACAGGCAGTTCTGTTCAGCAAAGGGGCAGGAGTCAAAAACGGCCCGATCCCACCTCCAGGAAACAGGGAAACAGGCTTCTTATGAGAATAATCAAGAACAGGAAGTTACTATATACCTAAATAGCAAATCCTATAAAAAAACTGCCAAAGTCATTAGAATGCTGTAGTATAAATATGAATTACCATGAATGACACCTCAAATTTYAGATGCACTGAAAAATGAGGACAATACACATAATTTCAGTACCCTAAGTGTCTTAGCATGATAAATAATAGCTAGCTGAATGACACACACATGTCAGGCTACTCCACTACCTATCAGCATTATTATTCATTGATTATTATCAGTGTGGAGTTGGCCACACAGGCTAAAATTCCATGGGAGCCTTGGCGTAAAGGTGGAATTAGTGTCTCAAGCTGTTACCAGTCACGTTCTCTGGCAACAGTCATTTTGCCTCAGCTGAAACTTGCAGTAGAAACCCTGAGAAACTTAATGTGCAGCAGTTCTCCTCTAACGACCTTGCGCTCGTCAGATGCTGGGTGCACTCATCCCTTCTCATCTTTGTGATGACAAGTACAAGTGACTTTTCAAATAAGGCAGGAGACAGAGGGATTCCCTTGTTCTTTACAGCAAAGCTTGTTACCTTAACATTTCAGTAGGCAGAGCAACTGCAATCAGTTGCACTGCACCTGGATGAGGTCTAGAGATCAGTAATAAAACTCTGCTGTTTACACAGTCTCCTATTTTTTCAGTCCTGTACATTCTCTTTTAGAAGCTGCTGGATCTTTCACCCCTGGTCTGTTCACAAAGCTGTCCTGGCTCCGGTTGTGTCTCCCCAAAGCTGCTGCTGTGCTGTCCCTTCAGCGCCTTGGTTGCTCCTTCTCCTCGAGCTTTCGTCCATGAGATTCCAGCCCTGGGACCACCCGCTTGCTCCAGCCCTGCTTACCCTTCTCAAGCCTTTACCCTGTGTTCAAATTGACCTTACTTTGCACCCTGTAACGTAAACAGCTTCTGCTGTCCTGTTCTGTACTTTAAATAAAGTCTTCATTTCCAGGATCAGACACTGCTCTGACTCAGTGAATTTTCATGGTGCTTAACGTGTTTTAGTAATAGTGCAGAATAATTAATACCTAGGATTCAGAGACCTGCTGCCTACTCATTATGTTGCATCTGYAAATTCTCTGTCTGAGAGCAAAACACACACAAAAAAGTCCTAATTCCCTGAGCTCTTCACCTGGTAGAGACACCGATGCCCAGAGGTTGCTTGTGCACTATGGCCCCACTGTTTCTTAAAGGTAATTATGTGTCAATAGAAACAAGATTTTTTTTTTTATTCCACCTACCAATTGCTGACATTTTGCAGCAAACGCAGCCCCTTGAGTCTAATTAGTCACTTGCTTTTTACAGCCCAGCTAAATTAACACGCTTGCTTTCTCTTGCAGGCCACTTKAGCTCATGTGTGAGGTTAGATCAACTGTAGTTTCTGAAATCTCTAAATACTTATTTTAGGTAAACTTACATGTTTCCATATTTCTCCCGTCCTCTCAATTACAATAGTTTGTGATTTATTGACCGGTGATGTAACCTTGTAGTCATCAGACAAGAGACCTAGAATTGGATACTGATTCCTGTACCTGTATTGAAAGAGTTGCAATCCTGTAAAATGTCACACTAAAATCTGCACACCTACATCCAAGTCACCAACTTCACAGTTCCACTGCTTTAGTTGTTAATCTCCAAGTACTTGGGGATATTCTAGTTGTTAGCAGCTAAAAAAAAATAGTAATCTCCTTTAAATACCAGTTTGACATATTGGTCACTCTCCAATTGCTGTTGGAATGTCTGTACTAAAGCCACCCTGGATAGTAAAACCTAAGAGCCGAGTAGATCATGGTAAGAATCACAAAGGTTCTAAGGACTCCATTACTAGAAGCTACACAATGGAAATCAAAGGCGTTTTTAAGAAAAGTGAGCAACTACATTACTTCTTGGTGATGATGGCTGTTACACCAGGAGACTGACTGCATGATAACTTCTCTTGCTTCAGTCTGAAGAGCTCCTAAGAAAACAAAAAAAATTACTTTATTAAAAYAAAGTAATATTTGCTAATTCGCCACAGTCACAACAAAATACTTGCCAAAATTCATCTTGAAGAACAGTCTGAAATAGTTTGTCCTTCTAAGAGCCTGGCAGAGCAACAGCATCAAACATGCACTAGTCCTGACGCAGGGCTTCCCAGTCAAATGCCACCCTCAGGGTAAGTTAATGCTTAAGTCTATCATTCATGAAACAGAAATACATTATTTTACCTCTTGCTGTTGCTTAATAAAAGCATCTTTCTCCTCCAGCATTGAGGTCAGTTCATGCAGCCTTATTTGCAAGTCACTGTTACTGCCTTCTCTCCTTGATATGTCTTGCTGGAATTGTGACAACTGAGACTAAAAAGGAGAAATGTGATAAAGAACATTAAGTGCTCTGTGTTCCTTGGGGACGATCTTTGTACACATATCTGTGACTCTGGATCTACTTTTTCATTAGCATCATGAACACTAACCCTCGAAGCAGCAGAATTTACAAAACCCTGTGTCTATATACGCATACACATAATATGTAATACATATATGTACATAAAACACAGACATGCAGAAAGACTCATCACTTTTAAAGGAAAAGGTCGACAACACGGAACAAACTGGTTTCCAAGGTGATAGAATGTTAATACAAGGGATATATCTTTATTTTCTGGAGATGTGTTTTAATCACCATTTTGCGTTCTACCACAAGGAGYAATTGCAGAAATCTAAAGAACGTTTCAGAAATCTTTCCTTTTTCTTAAAAATTACTTAGCTATGGTCATTAAGGATGAGGAATGTACACAATCAACATACCCTAAGACTGCGGATCTCGCGATCTTTATCCTCTCTCAAGTTGTTGATCATCTCTACGTAACGGCTGGAGAGCTCATCCGTGGTGGTCTGAAGTGTTGGATTGGAGCAGAGCTACAGAAAACGAGATGGCTTTTATTGCTACAAGAATTAGAGCAAGTTTAATTCCTTTTTTCTACGGGCTGCTACAGTTGAATTGCCGTGTAACAGCTACTGGAAAGTGAGGCCGGTACCTGCAGCCGCAGGTTCTGGACCTCCTGCTCCAGCGCGCGCTTGCCGTACTCGAGTTCTTTGAGCTGACACTCCCTGTCGCCCTCGGTGAGGCGGAGGGAGAGGAGCTGCTCCTCCAGCGAGCGGCACTTCGCGGCGCTCTCGCGCAGCCCTTGCTGCAAAACAGACCCGGCGGTTACTCGGTGCTGCGGCTGCGCCTGGCTCGAACCGCACTGAACGTGTTTGCACAGTCACCTGCTGCTGGCGGTTGTTTTCTCTCAAGGAAGCCAACATAGCTTCATACTCTTTAACTTGAGAGTCTTTAAAAGACAAGTCCTTCTTAAGGCAGMCATTGTCAGTTTCTAATTTCTGAAAGACAAAAGTGTTTACTGTCAACAGCTGCCATTCCCATGTTCCCAAGCCCTTCCCATGTTCAAAATACAAAGTAAAGAGTAACTAATGAGTCATGACTTGGAACTAATAAAATACATTATTTTCTTGCTGCTATTGCTTTGTTGCTGCGTGGCCTGTGGTGGTTTTTTTTTTTTTTTTAAACTACTGACAAGTATCAACATGGGAACAGAAAAATGGAACTTACCCCCAAGTCGTCCTGTAAGTGGCAGAGCTCTTCACGTAAGTTTTTGAAAGTAGAAAGCACAAGTCTCAGCGATTTATCTGATGTCACTCTCATCTAGGAAGAAACATAAAAATGTGTATTGTGCTTTATTAGAGAGCTTTATTTACAATGTGCTTAGTCATGTCCGAGAGAACTGCTCTTCAGCTGCAAATAACTTTAACTTGAGCATTTAATTGTAAAAACCAGCCATGCTAAAGAAAGACCCACTGCCATGCAGTGTTGTGCAAATGGCACAATTGTTCAACTCCTGTGTTCTATAATAAAGGACATTTTTAAATGGAAGGAACAACATAAAGAAAAACTGAGTTTGTGCTGTAACGAAGGGAAAAATAGGTTAACATTTCATAGCCAAGTTCAGAGCTCTGCGAATTATGGTGATGAAAAAAAGCAGGCAGGCAGGAATGATTCATCATCTTCGAGATGTGATAAACCAAGCTTTCAGCCCAAGGGCAAGAGCATTAAATGAAAATTTAAAAATAATGATAAATAAATAAAACTCTACAAACTACCAACTTTTTCCTTTAAAGGGAAAAAGGTCCCAATTAAAGGAGCCACCCGGATGAAAAAGCAAAGCAGTGACAGACAGTAAACTGCCTGTGCTTCCTAACTGTGCTGCCCTTTTTTTCTCTCTTGTTAATACATTGCAAACACCTGTGTATTAACTCACATTAGAACAGAAACTTGCATTTCATGGCAAATTTCTAGTATTTAAGAGAGAAAATGCATCATAAATCCTCTGACTTCTGACTAGTCTAGAAAAGCTGAACGCTATGTAAAGTTTTGGGTTTTTTTTTTTTGTTTGTTTGTTTTTGTTTGTTTGTTTTTAATATTTGGATCAAAGTTATTTCCTTGCCCTGCTCTTCTTCTTCCAGTACTTACCTGAACATGCAGGCAAGGCCTTGGCCACTCGGTCACTATCGATACTGTGCGGAGCTGCTGTGGGACAGCGGCTTCCAAGGCGCTGCCTCTAACAACTCACCTGACGGACTGGAGCCAGGCGGGAGCACCGGCTCTGACCGAAACCCCCTGCTCGGTGGGCAGAGACCCCGACTCCCTCCTCACCCGCGCAGCCTCCCGCGCAGAGCCAGGCGCGTTCTGGCCCGGCACAACCTGCTCCCCGCAAGGAGGGTCTCTTTTTCTTCCAGTCAGAGGTTACCAGATACACTTCAGGAAACCAGGAGCTGCAGGGTTCAACTCTTCCACACAGACGTGGACTGAAGTCATCCAGTTGGTGTCTATTGTAAAAGAGCCACAGAACTGCTGAGGTTGGAAGGGACCTGAGGGGGTCTCGTACAACCTGCGTAAGGCAGGCTGGGCTCTGGGGCTGCACCAGGATGCTCAGGGCTTGGTTCACGTAAGGATTAACCTGTCCCCAGGGGAGGACTCAGCTGCAACACTTGCCTCTAGCCCGGGGAGAGGGGATGGGGCTAGACCTGCTTAGGCAGCGCAGGGCGGTTTGGATCATGGAACGCAGGTCCAAGTGGCACCCTGTTCTGGCACCCTGCTACATCACTGTTCTTAACGCACCAAAGCGGGGGCAGTTGCAGAGGGCTCCCTTCAGAGCACTTCATGTAGGTGGTGGCTGTTACTCAAAAAAGAACAGAGGGCATCACAGAGCTGGGAGGCAGCAAAAGGAACAAGCATCATCAGAGCGCGGCATTCTGGCCCAGAACCAACATTAAACGTGATCCGGACAGCGCAGTCCGGCCTGATGACATTTAACGGAGACCTGGGCGGCTGATGAACCAAAAAAGCCAGAACAAGAAAGCAGGTCCAGACGGCTAGGTAGCTGAAAAGCAAGATGAGGAGAAAAAACAAAAGCCATTTATAAACTGATTCAGAACAGAAATGGCTGTTTTGTTACCAAATGTCACAAGCACGCACAGGTATGAGCCACACGTTATAGATGTTTAACTGGAACTTGTGGAAGACGACACAGATTATAAACACCAGATATAGTTGGCAGCTGATGTCCAACTTGACATCCAATAAAATACCCACTCTGCACCTGTAAACTGTCAATATAAAGCACAAACAAGAAAAGATACCAGTATTTTCATGTAATTATTTGTTAAAAGCCAAGCGGGCTTCCAGTGAAACTGCAAGCAAGCTCCAATAAAGTTCTGTTTAAAACACACACTCTGCATTGTGTACATGTCTCTTGAAGCCATTTCATGTCACGTTAAAATAATGGAATAAGCAGAACACAGAGTTAGGTTTGTACGAATCCCCTGGTACGTGTAAGCCAACGGTCAACTTCTATTGTTTCCACTCACTGTTCGCGCTCACCTACCTGCAGGAGGTAACGAATCTGCTGTTTTGTTGCCTCAGACAGGGCCTTGGGAATTAGATCTTCAACATCTTCAGTCTAAGCAGAGAAGGAAGAAGGGATGGGAGGTGGGTGTGGGGGGTTATTTGTCTTTGACATCTTGATTAAAAATTTTGCCTGCTAGATCATAATGTATTTTCATTAACTACACATCTTTACTAYGAAAAACATATTTAGTACAAGGCAAAATACAATGAAAATACATCAAAGGATATCTAGAAGACTTTCGAAGTCTTATACATGAGAGGAAATGTTCTGTCAGACATATTTTCATTAGATGAATATTCAAATCATAAAGGTTAACTTTTATTTTAAAAGTATTATTCAAAACAATCCTCTCCCAAAAACAGCAGTCAACACTAAAGCAGAACTCCAGAAAATTGGTATGATCAGATCTCATATTTCTAATTGACTGTGAGTAAATAAATAAATGGTGAGCAATGTGCTAGAAGGGAGACTGCCAGTGACTAAGCGCCCTTGCATCATGTACTTTAATCCTGAACAAATATTTCTGCCATATGCACAATGCTTTTAAAAATAACATAYGTGCTGATACTAGGATATATATGATGGTGATGTGATGATAGAATATCATCCGAATCTCAAAAATGAGTCCAGCATTGCTAGAGCTTTTTCTAAGTGTAAAACATCTGTTTCCTCAACTTCAGTTGCTCATTCTGTGAGAGGCAGCGTCCTGCACATCTAACACCTGACAGTACCTGCTGCTCAACAGCCACTTTATTGGCAAGAGTGGGAAAGATCCTTTACCATAAAGGCATATTGAAAAAAAAAAAGTCGCTGTGCAAGTCTGCTTTACAATGAAAATATTATTGAAACAACAGGAAAAARCTTTTGAAATTTGACTTTCATAAGGTACTGGATAATGCAAATTATCAACGTTCACTTCTGACATTTGCAAATATGTGCCTGTCGGTAGTTTCAAGCAAGCAGAAATCATCACCTAACACAGATGTCTACATCACACTGAACTGACCGGACCACATCTTTCAGTTGAATTGGATGAGGTTGAATCTGCTCCAAAACTGAAGATCCACACAATTTTCACTAATGCTAAATGTTACATAACAGCTTAGAGGAGCACAACTGCTGCTTACCTGACTGGTAAATTCAATGTCATGGTTCCTGTAAGACAAAAACAGAATGCTTCTTAGTAGCTAAGAATTCACAACCACATTCACAGCTGTAAGAAGATCATTTTTAAAGTACTAACAGATCTCTTTCCACTCATTTTAAGGCGATAGGCAAAGAGGAGTTGTTAAATATTAGCCCGCAGAGTTCAGCAGGCTGGAGGAGGCTGCTTCCCCCACGCTGTGTCTTTTGGGGCAGTTAACCCCAGTTATTAACTGCCTAATTATCCCAATGACCTAACCCACAATCCAAGGACTGGCTGGGCAGTAGCTTTACCCACCCTGCTGCAATGCACTGATATGCCTGAAGTATTTAGCAGTGTTCACGATTTCTCTTCATGTTTAAATTCCAGGGTTTTTTACATGCTATGCCAATGGCAACTTGGATGTTCGGGTTGTTTTTTTCTTCAGGACCAGTAATAGAATTGTGTCATTAAACACATCAAACAGCATGCAGTAGGTTTATTTAAATTTGTTCTATCTGTTTTAACAGCCAAGGAATAAATCATTTTTATTGCGTATTAGTCTACACAACTTGAAAGAGCACTGAGTYAATCCATTTGGCTTACAGCCCTGCTCTCCATCCACAGGTACCCAGCACATTACACGACTGCAAAGCGCACTTGGAGTTCTATTTGCCGGGGAGAGCAGCACTGAGCCCCCCAGCTCATCCTGGCTGGATTCCTGGATTCCTGGCACGGCCAAGCGCCAGGACAGCCCTAAGGACAGTACCTGCCTCCTATCTTCTCCACGTGGCGCAGCAAGCAGCTGTGCAGGTCGTTGGTCTTGCGGTTGAGCTCGGCGAGCAGCTCCCCGAAGTAGCGGCAGTCGAGCTGGTCGGCGCGTTCCTGCGGGCAGCTCACCTGAGAGCAGACGGGCAGCAGCGTTACAGTCGGCCTCCCTTCCTCAGGGCAATGCATTTGTTTGCTCTTATTAACTAACAATTTATTCACGCTACTCTTTTCCAAGGTCGCGMGCCTTTTCTCCATGTCTAAGCCTCTCCACGAGCACGCAGCCGCGCGGAGGCGGCCGTGGCCAGCCGGGCAGGCAGGGCTGCGCTCACCGCTTCGCAGGTCTGCAGCGTCACCCTCCGCACGGCGCCTCCGCGGCACTCCTCGCTCCCGCACGCGGGCAGCACGTCGCAGGGGCTGCCCGTCTGCGTTTGCTGGCTCTGGAGAGCCACCGCGGGCTGCTCGGGCTGCTGGACGACCTGGCACTGATCCGACTGCTGCGGAATGTGATACTGCTGCGAGAACTGATATTGCTTCTCCTAAAAGCACAGAAATGCTGATTATTTAAACCACAGAACACACCGGAATGGGAGCATAACATGAATACATAAATAAAGTGTCTTGACACAGAATCACAGTTTGAGAAACTTCAATAATTCTGATTCACCAACTCCTCAAATGTTAGTAGCTGGAAATAAAAGGCACAGAAGATACCTCTCTCTCTCTCTTTTTTTTTTTTTTTTTTTTTGTGAATTGCGCTTCGTTATGTTCGTTATGTTGTTCCTCTTAACACTGAGATATGGGTATTGCCATTAACAAACACATATATCCTGTTTCATTAAGTATCTAAAGGGTTCCAAAAAGACCTGGTTCTTCTCTAGTTGAGCTATTTAGTGTTTTGGGGGATTTTTTTGTTTGTTCTGCTGTTATTTCAGTTAGAAAACCATTTAAGAACAGGAAATAGTATTCATAATTTGACCTAAAGTGCTAACAGAAATGTATTCTTGCAGACACACACACAAAAAGAAAAAAAAAAAAAGACAACAAGAAAAACCACTTTCATCATAGACTATCTGCAGAAAAAAAACTAAAGAGTATTTGACAGGTATCACGCCTATTTTATCTATTGCTTTCAGTGAGAGAGATTTAAAAAACACTAAAATTTAAAAATATCTTCAGTTTAAAAGCAAAACAACAAAAAAAATAGATATATCAGGCTGAAATATCCTTCATTTCAGAAAGATTCCTGTGGAAAGTGACAGTATTTCAGAGCAATAGGAGTGAAAAATACAATTTTGCTATTGACAAAATACCAAATCTGAGACAAAATTTCAAATGGTCTTAGCATAAAAACTTTTTTCAAAAGAGTGAATGCCAAAGCTAAAATTAGTCTTTACAATCCAATTTTCTAAGACATTACATAGGTTATCCTTCATGGGGCTACTGCAGGCAGTTAAGGCTCTGACATTCAGCAGAAGAGCCCTATGACCAACCCGGGTGTCAGAGATTCAGCAGCAACTTTTTCATTAGCTTGAGATAAGAAAGTCTCAAGAAAAATGTTCCCATCTGCTGCCCTCAAGGAAACGGTTTCATTTACTCTGAGAATGTTTCTTAAACCTGGACCACACAACCCTCAAAAGGAATGGGGTCTTTCCTGCTATTTTCTCAGTTTTCCTTTGCAATAAGTAATATACAGAACCAACTTACTTGGTGGGGATTTAATAGCTCGTATTTTCTTATTGTCTTTTCATAGATGACATTATTTCCAGGATAGAAGTTCCCCCCTCTAAAAAATGGGGATAACGGCTCCTGTAAAATATAGTAATGAAAACCATTCATATATGTCACCAAACAGCCAATTCAGCTAATGGCATTTTCACTAAAAATCACTGGAGCTTCCTTGCAGTCTGAAGACACATGCACTTAAAATCCTCTAATGTAAATATCTTCTATTTTTACAGTCTTAAGCAACTTGAGATGCACTGTTCCTATGTGCACACTTGAGGAGGTGTAAGGGTCATAGCCTTGAACTCAAGATCCTTCTGCAACATCCATGTAGCACTCACATACACTCTGCATCTCAACGTTACATCATGGGGAAAAAATAATAAATTACAYGGTGTTCTCCTCAAACAACGACACCAGACTGAAGAAAACAGGCTATGTAATATAAGGTGGGCAGTATATAGTGCTCCTGGAGTTGCTGAAGCTCCAGAACCTTCTCCCCTCAGACATTCATCCCTAATCCTGTGGAGATTAGGCACTACTTTCAATTCCCAGTTATTTAATCTGAGAATCAGGTATGGCCTGGATGGTATGGATTTAAGGATCCTTGGCAGCCCACAGTGCAGGTAGCAGAGCACTTCACAGAACCAGAATAATTAYATAAAACAGACTTGCACAGACAGAAGGGAACAGCCCCCTACCTGGTCAGGATTCTCTATAATAATCCTCCGAATTGTGCCCTGCAAGGAAGAAAATAGAGATTCAGTGAGAACCCTGTGGTGCTCCTGGCTCYGAACCAGAGCTTTCAAGCCCGCTCGGCCTCTCCCTTCAAAGCGGAGCCTCCCTCCGAGGCTCCGGGTGCAGCCGGCACTTCCCGCTCTGGATTCGCAGCTTGGAGCACTTTGTCCCGGGCCCCTCTCCCTAGGGAATTAGTCCTCATTTTCCCTAGGGCCAGAGGAGTAGGGCAGGAACCCCCGTGCACACGCTGGGCAAGGTCTGCAGCCACAGCACGTCCCYATGCCCCAGACCTCTGTCTTTTACCTACGCAGCGAGGTCAGGAAACTGCCCTGTTTGTGTTTTTAGGACTCACTTTGTTTCTACAAAGCCTTAAAAAAAAAAAAGATGAAAAGACAAGAAAATCTGTACAATGAAAAGCAAGGTAAACAGAAACTGCCAAACACGCCAAATGGACCACTATTCAGTGAACTAAACAGCAGCAATTACTTCAAAACACAATCAAATGCGCCAGAATCAACACCGACTGACATCAATCAAAAAGATGCCCACAGGGGACATTTGCTAGTTCTTGAATAACAACAAATACGCTATTTTAAACCAGAGAAATCCACAGGGGACATCAGTTTTATTCATTTTCAAAAACAAATTTTGCTCTGCAGACGTAAGGACCCCTTCCATTCCGAGGACAAGCAACAACTCGTTATTTGAGATCTCCACATTTGGCTCTTCATCCAAGTAAGCAAAACTCCCATCACATCTAATCTAGGGCCTGGGCAACTTGTTAACTGCACAGAGGTTGTTCCCCCTTCCACTCTTCCTAACAAGCCACTTGTTCCCCAAGCCCCCGGCRGTGCTTGGAAAATGCACATTGCTGCTGTAAGCCCTGGACACGTCCTTAACAGGCCAGAACTGCAAAGCTGGGCAGATTCCCAGTTTGCAACCATTGCATAAGTTTAGAAAGCCTGGAGCAGTTTTCCAAAGCTCCCAAGTGTGACTCATAACTGCATCAGGAGAAGAAATCAAAATAGGGAGGGGGAAAATAAATAATAATAAAAATAATAAAAGTATTTCAGCTTCTATTTTAGCATATATTAGGAAATCTCAGTTTTACCCCCTGCGGAAAACAGCTGATTGTTCCTCCTCCCACCAAGAGCTGAAGTCAACAAAACTCTCTGCATTAGTTCTTTAATTTAGCTCTGTATTTAGGCCCAGATTCTCAATATTTTTGACACTACAAAATTTGAACTGAAAACCAGAATATTTAAAAATTATCACACCCTGAAATCTTCTTCACACGAGCTACCCAGCATCAATCCATCCAATATCGAGTATTTCCTTAGACCCACGCGGGAGAGCTGAGCCTTCCTGGCCAGGCCTGGCACAACTGCAGCCTTCGGAAAGGGCCAGTGCAATCCGGAAGRGAGGCTTTTGCCGAGGTGGGAATTTTGTTGTACACGCGACACACAAGACTCAGAGATGCCCGTTCAGGTCCCTGGAAGGTGCACGAACCTGCCTGAACCGAATCTCACTGCCATGGACCTTGGAATATGTAATGCATTCTATCGAGTTTGGGGAGAATAACACGAAAAATATTTAAGTATCTACATGTTCACAAAAGAGCACGTTCAGAATAGAGAAAACCACACAATTTTAACTTGAAATACCCCTTTTAATCTCCAAATATTCAAAATGGCCTAAATGCCATACAGGAAGATACAGAGAGCCTAAGAATGKTTTTGTTTGAAGAGAATTATGCTTGGTTTTAAGCCACACAAACACTCTCCCTTTCCCAGTGACTTTGATGCGGGTATTCCCACCGCCCTGGGACAAACACGGATTCGCTGCCACCCTTCCCGCTCCAGCCGAACAGGSCGGACTCGGGCTGCCCTGGGAGCCAACGCAGGGGCCGCGAATCCTGCAGCCCTCGGCACTGCAGCCACCACTAATGCTGTAAAGCATAAAACATCCTCTGGGTTACTGCAACTAATGCAGTCATCTGGTCAGAATTTATGAATTCTATTTGGAAGCTGGGAAGAAAAATAAAAAATACAAAAATAAAAAACAGGCCAAATTTGGGGGCTGTTTCAAATAATGTAGGCAATTTTCACCACCTGGTTAACGTTTTGGTTGTTGTTACACCAGATTCATAAGGGCAGTTGATGACAGTTGCGAGCACTGAGCACTTCACAGAGGCAGCACGAAAAAAATCTTACTCACAAAAATTCCCACGTGAATATACAGCTTGCAAAGACCTTCAAGATGTTGCCTTCCATGCAAAGATGGACATTTGTGTGTCACCTCGTGTATTATTTAATTTTTCATGACTACGATTTGAATAGTAATACCTACAGGCCACGCTGGGAGAGAATTTATTCTAAATAAGCAACAAAACAAAGCTTTGGGTCACCTCTTTCAACGTTTTTTCCCATTYAGTTCAAACAGAGCAGAGTAGAATTTGCCTCGAGTTTGTTACTTCATGAAGCCACTGGAATTATTCCAGACAACGCCCGCCACGGCTGGGAGCAGCATTTTTTAATGTAGCATTATTTGGTTAGACAAAGAAAACAAAGAAAACCAAATCATGAACATGCTGTGACCAGAAAAACACAACCACGCACATTGTCTGTATGTGCCATTTTCCATATTTTGTTCCCTCTAGTCTATTAATCATATATATAAATGCAACGGGAGACCCCAGCTACCTGACTTGAAGAGCACAACGGCAGTAACGTAGGTATTTGTTAGCATTAATACCAGTAAAGCCCTGCCAGAGCGATCACGTATTGCTCACAGAAAGCGCCTTGGCCTGTCGGAAGGAGGGTGCTCAAACCAAAACACGAGGCTGCCACTAGCCGCGCGTTCTAGCACCAGAACAACGTTTACACGTGGTGATCAGTTCCTGCTGCTCAAGCTCAGCTCGCACAGCTGCAAAGCGTCTGCAGGAGGGGCCACAGGACCAAAACACCCGGGATCTTGGCCCAGGGCGGTCGAGGACCCGCAGCCCCTTTTGCCTCCTCCCGGCTGACCACCCCGAGTTGTAACCCTTTCTGTCAGCAGTAACTGCCTCATTAACCTGTATTAACCACCACACAAATTACAACCCACGCAGAGCCCGGTTCGGACTACACCCTGTTTTCTCTTTAAAGTCTAATCCAACAAAACACTTCAGCAAGAAACTATTTTTCATCAGCAGGACTTCATGGTCTCAATGACTAAACAGATGTCGAAAATTAAATATATTTAGGAGGGCAGAGACAGCATTAAGAGACTGTAGTCACACTGCTCATTAATGCAACCGAGTAAAAGCAGCTTGGGACTGCAGCATTTGTTCCAATTAATATTTAATTAATTGMATGCAATTCAGACTAGCATCTAGCCCAATAAGCAGGCCACTCACCTGGGAGGTGAGAGACGAGTGTTTGCGCACCTACTCCACCCTGCAGAGGATGGGCTGCTTAAAAACATACTTGTTTTYGTATAGGATTAAAAATCCTATAAAGCTGTTGGGGAAATGTCTCGCTTTCCAGAATTTACAAAAACCATCCCAAAAGAGGCAGCCATAGAGTATAAAAATGTGGCTTTTTAAGACGGTTTTTTTTTTTTTTTGGACTTAATCCCTGCTCTTTTTTCATTGTTGAATATTTTTATCCCACAAGAAAGCGAGCTAAATAAAAGCTGGAGATTAAACAAATAYACATTCCCAAACTGAGCAGGACATTCCAACCCTTGTACTGATGTTAAAAACAGTCTGAATGCAAAAGAGAAAAACAGGGTATACAAATCCCGTCCTACTGCCAAAGCTGCTCTTAACTCGCTGATTTCCCGCTTTCTGTTCCTAAGCTTCAACTGMGCTAGTGCTCAGTATTTAGGTTAAACATTTACGTTAGCCACCACCACCCCCGCAAGCCGTTCCAGTAAACGGGGAGCAGCAAACCCGCCCGACGGCAGCGCGGCGTTTGGAGCGGGACTAAGGGCCGGTTTCTGCCCGCTCCCACTTGGCGCTGTTAGCCTGGGACCAACCCAACGGACACGCCTGTTTGTTTGTTTAATGGCATCCTGGCGTTTAGCAACACCAAATGCGTTCGCGAACGGCCTATTCACGGAAACGAATAGGTTTTTTCAGCGAAACGGGAACTGCAGGAGTGGCGCGTTTGGAATTAGAGTTTCACAGTTCTACAAGCAGAACGGGCAAAACGCTGCAAGGGAAGGGGTGCCTACAGCCTGACGCTGAAGAGATGTAAATTTGAACAGAAAACGGCTTGTAGTTTCCTGTCGAGCCGGTCACCGCGCGGTGCCGGTTTCATACCCGAGCAGGGCGCCACTTCTCCGCGGGGCGCCGCCGCGCCCGCCCCGCTCCCGCATGGCGGCTCCCACCGCCCACAACGTGGTGCCCACCCCGGGGGGCAGCGGCCGCCGCCGCCGGGCCCTGCGGGGCGCCGCTCCTACCTGCGGCGGCTCGCAGCCGGGCAGCGGCTGCTGGTGGCCGCCGGCGCTGTCGAGCGGCGAGGCGGCGCGGGACGAGCACGAGGTGCTCACGCGGCGGCAGCCCGGCCCGTAGGTCCGCACGCGGTCGTAGGCCGCGCCGCTGTCCGCGTGCTGCG